CACACAAAGCATGGCTACTATGTCACACTGCAAAATACAGTGTTGCCTACAGAGCAGCTGCTTGATCATGTCATAAGTTTACCAATCTCTTAAATAATTAATAACTTTTTCCTGTCTCGTTTTACATAGAAACAATCTTGAGCAAAGTTGTAGCTGAGAAAATTTTCTATAAGAATGGCTATCGAACTGTTTCGCAGCTCAATATGGAAAAAGACTTGAAGGCAGTGAACAAAAAGTTGAGATTTCCCATAGTAATTTACATGTAAACTTCAAATGGCTTGTGCGAAGTCTGTTTCTAACCAAATGAGTTGTAACTTTGAGAGGCTAATCAGGACCCGATTTGAAACAATTTAAGCACTGTGGAGCGAAAAAGTCAAATTTTGCATCAGTCTACTGTGCATGTCAAGCATGGTGATAATATAATTTTAGAATTTCCACGGCACAATTTATTGATTCATTCGTCGTCAATCAAATGTAGACCAGTTTAAATGACAAAAAAAAAAAAAAAACCTGACATCTATTTTAATCTTCAATCTCTGACTAACCTCGAAAAGAAACGTTTTTTATGAGCATTTTTGTTCATTGTCAAATCAATTGTTTCATAATGTTCATTATAACAAGACATCATTCTATTTAAAGGCGCGTTTCTGGGATAGTTTGTTCTTTGATTGTTAATAGAAAACATATTTCTGTTTCTTAAGGAACGCAGCATAAAAATTTAGATTTTCTAAAATCTCTGTGACATTCACTCTTTGTGCTACAACATCGTTTATAGAAGCTATCATTGCTATCAAGTGCATCCAAATTGATCAACATACATAGAGACTCATTAGATGGTAAGAATAAACTCCTTCACCCTAACTTTCTTAGAGTAAATAATAGAAACTGTTTTTGAACTGATTAAATGCGGTTTATATGAGTATCTTGATATGGAGCCCAGACTATACTACAGTACTCAAGGAGGGGCCTAACATATGCAACGTATAATGTTTTGATTGTGTATGGATTATAGAAATGAAAGCTAAACCTTTTAATTTACCCTAGCATGTTGCTTGCCTTGTAGATAATGTTATTAAAATGTCCAACAAAGCTTTATTTTGAATCTAGTATAATACCCAAATCTCTAACTTGATTGCACCTTTCAACTCTGTTTTGTCCTATTGTTACGTGTTCTTGCAAAATAATTTTCTTTCTTTTAAATGAAATGGAATTACATTTATTCACATTAAACAGAGACGAACGAGCCAACGGCTGAAAGTCTCTATAATAAAGAAATCAATCAATCAATCAATTCACATTAAGCTTTAATAAACTTTTTGTGAACCAAGTGTAAAAGTTACCAACTTCTTGTTGAAATACTACAAGATCAGACGTTTCACGAATTTCCAGGAGACATTAAGAATATTCAATATGTGCTCTACATCATTAAAAAATAGAATAAACAGTAATGGTCCAAGATGGAAACCTTGTGGCACATCAGATGTTACATTGACTACTGACGACAAATCTCCTTCAAATCTAACTCTTTGGGTCCTACCGGTCAAGTATGACTGAATCCACTTTAATAAATTTTGAATAAAACCTCACTTAGATAATTTGAATAGCAAAAGAGGGATATCAACTCTATGAAACGCTTTACTGAAGTCAGTACACTGGAGTCGCTTTTTACGCGGGTGATACGACCCGCGTAAAAAAACCGCGTAAATTCCGGAATCCGCGTAAAAAAACCGCGTAAAAAAGACCGTGTGAAAAAAACCGCGTAAAAAGCGACTCTAGTGTATAACGATATACCGCGTTAATTCTGAAATCCACGTAAAAAGAACCAAAATCCGCGTAAAAAAAAACCGCGTAAATTCCGAAATCCGCGTAAAAAAAACCGTGTAAATAGCGAAATCCCCGTAAAAAAACCGCGTAAAAAAAAAACGTGTAAAAAAAACCGCGTAAAAAGCGACTCCAGTGTATATAGTGCCTCAACATAATGTCCCTGATCCACAGTTACGTTCTGTCATGACAATGAACTTGACGATATTTAGAAGAAAATCTATATCATAATAACATTTTCAAGCTAAGATAGTTAAAAGGTTGTACATTAGTTCGAACTTTGCAAAACTTGTGAGTTTAAGAAAGTTTTTTTACATGACCTGTTCTTTCGAAAAATTTCTCGAAACTAAGATGAAATAATTGAATCTCCTTGTTTTGAGAGGTTTTTCCTTATTTTATATGTGAGCAGTGCTTTAATGTAAAACATATCAATACAATTTACTATTCTTTAAACTACACTCATTCTTCAATTTTTTTTTATTTCCGCCGTTTGTCACATTCAACCTTTTGTATTACGACCTTATGAATATAGCAACTACAAGCTCATTTATTGATATTATTGTTACTTGTGCCTAAAATTATATTGCTTACCTAAATCCATGTAAATTAGCTAGAAAACTTGTTGTCAAAACCATATGCGGAATATAAAAATCATAATAACATTTACCAACCCTGGCTAATATAGGGAAAAAATCTGCACATTGGTGAAGAAATATGCTTGTCTATAAATTGTGACTGAATGCTTTCAGCTTTCAACACTGATGACCCCTAAGAAAAGAGGTGGAACTCATATATTTTATTGTGGATTACTCAGCTGTGTGACTTTGAAGTTTTTCGATTTCAATCATCTTTGGTTTACATGCCTAATGAGAGTAACTCAACATTGAGTGGAATTTGACTCAAAATTGCAAAAACGAGGGCTACTCAGTGAATGAGTAAAATTTTTACTGGATTTTTCAAATGAACCAGCCCCTGGCTGAAAACCAGGATGAACTTCTTGAGTATAAAAAAATAGATATTTTACTCAGTCTATTATACTCCTAGACTGAGTTAAATTTCGGCCGATTTTCCTCTTATTCAAGCACATAGAATTTCACACACTTCGCAATTCAAGCATATTACTTATCACATATTTGCTTATTGCATGCTCTCAACTGCATTTTTACAGTTATTAATTGAGAGCTTTCTATGCTTTTCATTAGTGTGCATTAGTATAATTGCATGGCAGGGAAGTTATGAAATTTTCCAACCTGAATAATTCCTAGACCGGACGGTAATCGAACCCAGCATGGTCTTGCTTTGTAGCTGCGCCTTTACCGACTAAGCTAAGCGAGGCCCCGAGGTGTAAAATCTCCCCTCGTTTAATGTTGAGCTATAGTTAGCATAAACAACGAAATTGTTTGCAAGCATGTTTACAGCATTGCTGATTTCAGTGATATTGCTTATAAATTTACTTAAGCGTTGTTAGTGTGCCCTTGATATCACAGAAAATTACATGAATTTTTCAAACAATGCAGTTTTTCCCGCAAAAGTGAGTAACATTTTACTCACTCACAGAGAAACCCCCCTTTTTGCAATTTTCAGTCAAATTCGTCTCAGTAGCTGAGTTACTCGCATCGCCCGATGCATCAAATTTCCATTCAATAGAGCTGAGGCCACAGGATTCAATTTCCTCAACATCGATAAGATTAATGTTTGTCGAATGCTTCAATCCATTCTAACGGGTGCTTTTGTTCGGTTCATCATAAAATTAAGGCACTGCTTGATCGTACATTAAACGGTTTGCCGGTGCGCATCATATGCGATCGCATAAACCCTTTCGGGGTTACATCATTCCATCCTGTACGCTCATTAACCGACCCCTCAATTGGGTACTTATGTCTTTAGTACCCGTAAAATCCACTCGTTTAGCGGCACCGATTAGCCAATTTTGCTCAAATTTTAGTCCTCCCGCGAGGCACCTTCATAATAGTGCACACCTGTTGTGTTTACTGGTCATATAGCTACAATGTATCGCAACCAATTTTCCGCCCATAACAGTTTCCTTAACCACCTTCTTGGTTACTATGCTGGTTGTTTGGTGGGCGACTCATCCTTGTCCGTGTGCATTCTCTCTCCCGCTCCCTCCACCTCACCCACTCTCTCATTCACTAAACGCCCGGTTCGCCCATTATCCGGCTTAATTGCCCGCTCGCAAACGATGTAACAACAAACACTTTTTTTTATTGAAATGATGGCAATTAATTTAATTTTTATGTTTGGTAATAATTCATAAAAAAAGATCGTTTGAGCGTAAGCCACAAGTAGTAGGTGAGAGAAAAAGGAAAAAAATCCGCTACCACCGCGGGTTCGGACGTCTAGATACTAAAGGAAAAACTGGGTAAAAATATTCAAGGTTCTGTTTACTACGAAAGTGCGCTACAATTGCATACACTAGTGCGCTGGTATGTGTGTGTGTGTGTCTTTGCGTATTTGTTTCGGTAGCTGGTGACCATGGAGGTCACGAGTCTGATACTGGTGATGTTTGCCGTTTTTATTTTATGATCAACACCGAAGCATTTATTGTTACAGGCTGTTTATTGTCTATTCGTTAAGAAGCATATCGCTTTCCTCTCCGGTTGTGGCTTCGGAAGCAGGGTATTCTGCCGGTGAACAATATTGCTACCGATGCGTTGGCGGGTGCGAATCAGGTGATCTTGGTTTTTTTGTAGGTAATGTCTTTGATTCAGATGATAGTCAGCTTTTATGAGCTAATTTTCGATTCAATAATTGAATTGTTAAATTAATTTATAGCCCACTTGGGGCAATGCTTAAGATGAGGCTTTCGTATGCGACGGAACAAGTGGGCTCCATTCTGAAACCTGTATCGTAAAAACCAGCCATTAAACGCGGAAATGGGTTTTTCAAACAACCGTCACTTATAGGTTTTGGATGGTTTATTGGTCGCGGCAATATCGGGCATGTTTTGACGGGAAATTTGCGGTGATTTGTTTTCACCGGTCTTTTGTTTTGCTTAGGTTGTAAAGATTTCTTGAATTAGGCTTGCTCGTTATTCACGAGGGTGTTACTTTGTAACTAGAATGTGCTATTACAAGGGAAGGTAAGGTTTGAAAGGTAGCACTTACTGACCAAGTGTTTGTTTATTCTTTTATTTTCATGCCATCGTCACGCCAATCCAGTAGGTTCCAGCATTTCGGTGGGGGTAGGTGGAGTAGGTTCCTGTACACCGTCAAATCCATTGGAATGGACTGGCAATGTAACGGTACGAAAGAAGCGAAAACCCTACTCGAAGTTCCAGACACTCGAGCTGGAGAAGGAGTTCCTATTCAATGCCTACGTCTCCAAGCAGAAGCGATGGGAGCTGGCTCGGAATTTGAACCTGACTGAGCGACAGGTGATCTTACCGCCTTTGCTGTAACCAGTAGAACTTGATCTTAAATGGTGATTTTTGCACATTACAGGTGAAAATATGGTTCCAAAATCGACGGATGAAGAATAAGAAAAACTCCCAACGGCAGCAGGCTCAGTCCAACAACAGCAGTAACAGTAACTCGAGCCACAATCATGCGCAACAGCAGTCCCATCACAATCCACACCATTTGAATTTGGGTCTAGGAATGCCTCTCCATGGTTCCAAGATGCATCAGTGACCTTTGGAGCACCATCAGGACGACGCCAACGGACAGCTGAAGATGGAAATGTGTGACGTCCCGACTGCTCCGATGTGTAGCCACATTCCCCATCCTCATCTGATCAACTATCATCATTAGAGGGTGGATGACGGTCGGCCACAATGATTGGAGCTCCCTTTGATAATACGTAACAAATGCGCTATAAATACCATGCTAGCCAGGCCACCAGTACTATGCTTCTCCAGTGTGTCGTCGATGTGTGAAAAGAGGAATACTGAACATTAAAATAATTCAAAGAAAAATCATATTGCATGTATATAGTACAATTAAGCTAATTCGAGTGAGGAAAGGAAGGGAAAGAATTTTACTTTTCCTTAGGAAACTGAAAACTGAATCAGACGAAGAGAATAAAAAAAAAATCCAGTAAAAGTTAGTGATTAACTAGGACTTGACAAAATTCATTAATTGAACAAAATCGATAAAAATGATGAAAAATATGTGGAAAGGAAAATTTTATTTCCTCGGTTATAGGTTTACGTACAAGTTAAAATTCTCGTAGAAATTGTGGATCAAACAATGTGAAAATGGCAAGAAGGCAAAAGTATGTGATCATTATTTTAGTAGTTTTTTTTTGAGTAGTTTTTCGTCCTTCTTTCACTTGTTTCAGTTTTCCCCCGTCTCTCCCTCTCAATTTCTCGCTCACAGTCAGTCAGCAGTGCAGCAGTTTCTCAGCTTGATTTTTGCTCAGTTTTATTTTCGTTGCACGAGCTACTTTTTCTCGGCCCCGTCCCACCCTGCAACGGTGAGCGTGCTTTCCTAGCGTTAATGCATGAGGTGAAAGGTTTTTTTTTTGGCTCTTTCAAAGAGGGTGACGAGGAGAATATGCTCGATGTCAAACTTAGTTGAAATTCTGTCGATAACAAAAAAAAAAAAAAGTAGCAGACTCTTGTATTAGTTTTATAATATGAGTTATGATAGGAGTTGTTTATCGAAAAATGTACGTTCTATTTCCTTTTGTTTCTGGATTCCTTTCATCGATTGAACCAGTGACGTTTCGAGACTATTTATTTCCCAGTTGTTCTATTTGCCGTTCGAAATACAATCAAGAGAATGGATGGTTAACTTTCTTTTTATATTTGTTGAGTTTTGAAGAATCAGTAGACAGCTTTGATTAGGTTGGTTTTAGACATAAAAAAAAAACAATGTGTTCCGTTAATATCTGTTTTGCTCATGTAGACACAAATACAAGCTAGTGATTTTTCAGTTTAAAAATAGAAAACCAAAAAATCGAATCATGGTCATTGACAACTGCCCCACTCTCTTGTTTAACAGTTGCGAATTGTTTTTTAGAGCTTTTACTGTTCTACATTATTTTAGGATGTCTACCGGGATGATTGCAAATTTCTTTTACGTCGAGGAAAGCCTATGATTATTTATGTATTTTTATTTGTATATATACAATATGGAATCAACCATTTCTGGATCTAAGATAAATAGTTTAGTGTTAAGAATAATAGTGCTAAAGTAGAGTAATGTGTCTCCAGACGAAAGAGAAAAATGTAATACTAAACAAGAGCAGACATCACTATTTCTTAATATAAACATCAAAACAGTTTTGAAATTATAAAATGTGCTCAAATTTTTCATAAAACAAAAACCATAACTTTAGTAACAATGATATTAGGAGCGAGGAAATCATGTTTAAATAAAGAAAAAGAAAAGAACAGAAGTCAAGCATAATCGTACTGTAAAAAGCAGCTACTACCTACTCTAGTGCAGTTAATCTCTAATCTGCCACCAATTAGATTCCGTTTCCAATCCGTACTAAGACATTGGATCTAAAGCCCAGTTATTTCAATTAGGAAAATAAAACCTCTCAAACGAATTTCAACCAACTTAATACTATCGGAAGTATGCATCTCTTTCCTTCAGTTCAAGAATGAAAATGAGTCGATTCAGAACCCAATTTTCAGAACCTTCTGAAATGGTACAGAGAACCGATATGATCATATACAACCAAATTTATAGCAATCGGATGCAAATCATGTAAATACTACATTTCGGTGGATCATATTAGCAGGAGAACCATAGTTCTATTTATTTCGATGGATCTGTAATTGTCACATGCAAATCGAATGCAAAGGATACAACACAAACACACACACACACACACAAAACCGAACATCCATTAACGCTAAACCTGATAAAGGTGAGCTGTGAGTGGAAAACTAATTGCAGAAAAAGATAAAAGAATAACCAATGTAATGAGAGAACATTTTAACTATTGTAATTTAAAATTAATTAGTTTTAATATAATGACTTTAAATAAACGTATTAATATATTAACGGTGTTGGTCATTTTAATTGGCTCGGGGGAAAAGAAGCGAAAACGCTTGTGGCTTTCTTTCCAGCCCCACTGGATGCATAAGGTATAGGTAGGTATCTCGAGAGGCGAGTAAAAAAAAATGAAGCAAATTACACATTAGGCAATTAGTAGTTCCCCGGTCGGATTGCTGCAAATGACGCATGGTGTGCCGGAGAGTAGAAACAAATTGGCTGTGCGGTTGTGTAGGTAGCAGTAGTAGAGCAGTCAGCACTCAACGCAAACTGCCCATTCAAGCTTCCCTTTACCTTATTACTATTATTCTTCTACTTCATCGGTTCCCCCTTGAGGATGGAGCATGCGAGTCAGTAAGTCAATCGTGGCGTGGTTCCTTTCTGTCCGCTGCTGGCGTTCAGCCCACTGTTGAGGAAGAAACGGAGGTGATTTAATTAAATACAAACTTAATGAACACTGTTCGTCACAACATGGATCACGCAAGGGAATATACGGGGGAACGGCAATATGTTTTCCTTTGAACCTTGAGACACTCCCATTTTGTTGCGGGGAGTTATTATTGGCAGTGGGTTTGATGGCAATTAGTAGATATGAACATTTTAATCGCGTTGTTGTTTCTCTTGGGCATCTACGCAGCTTCTATAGTACAACATTAAACTGGATAGTTCAAACGGAAATTATGATTCATGATCCAAATTGTTTTTAAATTGTTCACGATCCCGATCTGAATAATCAAATGATTTATATGACTCATCATTTGAACTGATTATTAAATAATAATGATATTCTCATAAAAGGAACCCGTATTTATATTATTCATGTCTCGCAAAATTGAGGGAATACTTAGGCCCTTCCCCCTTTCGTCGCATGTTTCCTATCCCAATGCAATGATTTTCACAGAATTTAACACTCAACAACCCTCTCCTCTCCCCCGTAGAGTGTGAATTTATTATATTCCACCCCCTAATAACAGCATCAGGGTGGGTAAACCGTTCCCTTATAATTGGTATTTGAGTGTATTTTTTTTTGAATTCATAATTATTTTTTTTTGCTTTCTTTATTATCGATACCATGTCATTTATTTTGCTTAATATTTAATTGATATTAATGCAATGACAACACTCAATAACTATGAAAAGTTGTTGCTCTACGATCTCTTAATTTTTCTTAACCGTGCATATGTTTCCTAGATAGGTTTAATTTTTTTACTACAACCTTGTCTCGGACGTCATTTCGATTAGTAGTCAGTCACGTTTCCGGCCTATGATTTATTGCAAAATATTGAATACGGAAATTTGAGATTTTTTGCACGGATCAAAATGGTCGAATTTTAGCACACATGTTAATTATTTTCCATAACATGCTAAAGTTTCATGCAAATCGAAGAAGGTCGCGTCTGATAGATTCGTCATTTTGCGAGCACTGTTCTGGTGTGAATTCAAATGTTGGAATTTGAATAGGGGAGAACGGGGTAAATACCAAATCTTATCAAAATGCAGCAAATTAAGTTAATATTGATCTTTAGAATGATGTTCATAAATTCATGGATTTTCAGGATTTGTCTTATTCATTTGATGATGTTTTATCAAAGCAACTGCCATGCCGTCATCTTTCCGTAGACAGCATAGAAATGTGAAAATAAAGCAATCAAAGCTAGGCCCAAGCGTGGGCCCGCGGTTATGGTCGTTATGGCAACTTGTTATTAGGGGAGATAAAGGTGCTACTTCCCGAGTTTTATCATGATGAACCGAAAAAAAAAGTTCAAATATAGCAGGAATAAATAAACAAAGTGGTAAGAAGTCACATGGAATATCTCGTGATTCTGTCCTTATAGATGGGTACTATCTTCGGCAAGGTTGTACAAATGGTGATCAGGTTAATTCGGAGTTCTTTCGGTAAGAGGCGCTAGTGTACATGTGAACTTCCTGTTCTGAACTATGTTTAAATATAGTATATAGTTTATATACAGTATATTAAACGTCAAAATTTCACGTCACCTGCGTAGAAGTGCCTGTCCAGCGCAATTATCTCTGGAAAAGAGAAAAATAGTCGATATTTCAAGCATATTTGATTTCGTATCTGATTCAGTAAAAAATCACTTCAATCGACGATTTGTGGCAACTGCAAGCTCACTCGCAGAAACTAAAATCAGCTAGTAGGGGAAAAATTCGTCTACCTGGTGATGGTGTTTGTATGCGTGGGTAAGTTAGCAGTTAAGACAAACCGTCGATTGAAGTGATTGTTTACAAAAGCAGATACGTCGATTTGAATAGTTACGCTTGATTTCGTCGTATATTCTACCATGCTGTAGCACATGCCAAAATTTGGCCACGGCTAGCGTAGAGTTCAATACGCTAGTAAGGGAACAGGCGCGGCTGGCCGAACCAATCAATGTAAGCACGGAGTTGATTCATCGACTCACGTTGCAGCAAGGAAAGCCCAGTGACGCCCGCGAGCATCAAAATTGGCTCCTTATTCGATGGTAACAATTCTGCTCAAAAATTTCCCCATCTAAATTGCACCAAGGTGATTAAATGTGATTACACAAAAATAATGAAATTTGATCGAAAAACTCTTTTGAACATGTATCACTTTTACTGTGAACAAAATTTTACTCTAAACCAGAAAACGTTGAAAGTTAAAGCAAAGAAGAATCCTAAGATAAAACAGCTCGAAGAAAAAACTTTCTATTTTAGTGTCCTCTTTCACCGTCCCTTTCATCCAATGAATACCCTCCGTATGCAAGGCGTTTTTGGGACTATGCTGCCTCTTCGGTATAGTTGAAATATTGCACTTTTTTAATCAAAACAATCGTACCAAAAATCATAGATTTCCCATTTTTTTATTACTCGATTATTTCTTGATCGCTGTGCTGTCATGTTTCCACCTGTGAAAGTGCAGAACATGTTTGTAACGATGGGCGATGATCGTTTCGAGAAACTAATGCTTACTTGGCATGATTTAACCGATTACAAATAATTGATTTTTCGGTTCGTTAATCGAATAATCGTTCATTCGAATAGAAATCGGACACCACTAGATGAATGAGGAAAGTCAATTTGACAGCCACCGTTCACAATATGAGGGCCGTTCATAAATAATGAGACAATTTGATGGGGACCGGGGCTAATCACAAATGATGTCCCCACTCTAACTGAAAAAAACACGAGTATGAACATCTTTGTGATACTTCCACACAGCAAAAAAAAATGTAATATCGATCAACGTAATTCAAGCTGATGTATGAAATAATGATGTAATAGCAAAAAGCAGATACAATATTACATCAATGGATGTAATTTTGTTCGCAAAATCGATGTACATCGTACAATGTGATATTACACAACCGATGGATTGACCTGGTTGCAGCAGTTTCGATGTAATATTCAACAACTTTTTTTGCTGTGCAGCACGGAATATCTTGTGAACCTTGCCATATGCATGTTTAACGGCTTCGACAAAGTTGTTCAGGTGACCAAGGTCTTCCGGATATTGGGCAGATTTGTTCAGAATTCTCTCACTACGCAGCGGTAGTGTCAATATGTACTTCGTGTAAATGCAATAGAGCATCTTCTTTCCTTTATTTCTAAACCAACAATTGAAATAGGCGGAACAACCAAACGTAAACAATGGCTTTAAACGCAAATTCCTCGATAATCAAAAAACTCTCACGCAAAATAACAATGCAATTCGACAAAGGAAGTTTGCTCTATCAGATGATGGTGTTAGATTGCTTGGATGTGCTTTGATTCTCGAGGAATTTGCGTTTAAAGCCATTGTTTACGTTTGGTTGTTCCGCCTATTTCAATTGTTGGTCTAGATTTAACGTCGGTCTCTGTTCCACAATCTAGTACCAAATTGTCTGATTTTTGCAGGCTTGCCTAAATTCCTCGAACTCAGATTATGCCGTATAGATGCTCATTCATCGTGAGCTAGCTCATCCCTCACATATAAAGAGCAATGATGTCAAATCCAAAGAGCGCAAAAGAGCTCGAGCTCAGATTGATGCTCAAGCTGGACTTCCATAAACACGCGTCACGATGAGGGATGCGGGGTTCGTTCTTGAGTGAGGCGTGATTTACATCGGCTCTGCTCACCAAACAACATTTTGAACTCCAGTGAACCCTACACGATTGCTTTTATTGCCAATAACCGTATTGTCAATACATTTTATATTGACGTCAATACATCGGTATTGACAATATTTATGTAATCACATCATCAATATTATTGTTAATAATTCCCCTTCGCGTCAATATATTGATACGTGTGGGGTTCGTTTCCGGGATGGACTCAGTGAAACCGTAAATATAAAGCTTCGTTATGCATTCGGAGAGAGCATGCACGGCCTTTGATTGATGCACAGTTCTTCCATTTAATATTATGATACACAACAATACATTCATGGACTATTGGACCATTCCCAGAAAACGTAACATTTTGAGAGATTTATGTTTATTTTAACTTGGGGAGCACTTTTTCGGTTACTAAAACTCAGTCACAAACATTTTTGTTCGTTTTTTTCCCCTAAGTGCTTTATGAGTGGATATACGAAATTATATTTCTGACTTAGAATGTACGAGGGAAAAACTAGTTAAAGCACTAATTACACCGTTTATGGATTATCCCTTGGTGATGTTTTCATATTCTCCTGTTGCCTTTTAACATGTTCATTCATTCGATTCGCTACCCTCGCTGCACACACGGTACCTCGGAAATCTTTCTGGACCAACAATTGAAATAGACGGAACAACCCAACGTAAGCAATAGCTTTAAACACAAAATTCTCGAGAATCAAAACTCTGCCACGTAAACTAAAATTGCTATTCGATAAAGGAAGTTTGCTCTATCAGATGATGATGTTAGATTGTTGGAAAGTGAGGGTAACAATAACAAACAATTTTTTTTGCTGAAGCGAAAGTGAGGATAACAAACTTCGCCCTTGGAAATGGGATTGTTTGCGTGTTATGAATGTCAAAAATGTCAATACGTTGAATGTTTTTTTTTT